TCACTTTTGAGAAAAATAAGTGTATGGAAATATTAAAAATGCTCATATCTCGCTTGAAAATTATTTACCTATTATACAAACGTATTACAACTTACCCGTGAATAGATAATAGTTTAGAATAATAGTTCTCTTATATAATATTATTATCAATAAAAAAAAAATGAAAACATTTTTAAATTAACTTAATGTGTCGACTTTTTGAGGCTAGTGTATCTATTATTTCGTCTGTGGTTACGACTAAATCTCGATGAATATTTATAACAGCTAAGCCATTCGAGCGATTTTCACCAGTTGTATTTCTTAGATATGTTTTCAAGCGTCTTAATGAGGAAAAAGACGTTTCACTGCTTGCAGTTGTTACAGGTAAAGTAATCAATACTTGTAAAAGTCGATAAACAGTAGGAAATATGTCTTCGTGATGTCAAAGAAGGCTTCGGTAACATTTTTAGGATTTTTGGGATTTTTGGGATTTTTATTTTTTATATGTTCATACCATATTGCAAACTCACCAATTGCAGATATTTCATCAGCTTCAATATCTGAAGAATATGTCTTAAGAAGTTCTTTAAATTCGGTATCATTTTTTCATTTGCATTTATTAAACAAGTAAATTGTTTTAATAGTGATTTATGGTTCAAAAATCTGTCATTTAGTTGCTCACAGAAATGATCCAAAAAAGGTACAAAAATCAAAATCCTAAAATAGACTTCCGGTGATTCTGTTGAAATTCTAAAACGATTTGTTCGGTTTATAGCTAGTCGAGGTATTGAAATTGTAATCCCCAATGATAGTTGATACCATAGAGTAACACTCTAATGATGAAGTTGTAAACAAGTTGTAAATACTCTGCATTAAAAGATATCTTGTATCGTACATGAAACGAGTCGACGATAAACTGACACAGAATGGTCTAAAATAATAATTATCTAATTCCGTGTGCCCGTGTCCAGGTTTAAATTATAAAACATAGTACACCACGATTGAGGGGGGGTGTTACTACACCTGTAACACCCCCCCTGGCTACGCGCCTGAGTACAATCCATTTTCAGAAATGAAGTAGGTACCCACGAATAATATTTTTAAATTACAAAAAAATAACTAAAAACGTTAATTTTCGTTTATTTACCTACATATCTAATTGTGTTCAAATTTGAACTTAAAATGTTTATAAAAAAAACTGTGTGAATATATTTTTAGAGATTTGGGTTATAATATCAACTACTAATAAAAAATATGTTTTAATTTTTCAATCTTTAACTAAGCAAATTATCATTTTATACATTTTTAACTCCAATATAATTTAAAATTTTTCGTCATTTTCTTTCCATCACTGACATTTGAAAATGTACTGATAAGGTGACACAAAAATGTAAATTTTTCTTACGATGTGATATAAAAAACAGACTTTATGGTAAGTGAGTAGTATACATATGTATGTTAACAGTACGTTTTTTTTTCACAGCAGTAATTTCACAACTTTCAATGGAGGAGTCCCTCTTGAACACAATAAATACATACAAAAATATTTATGGAATTCTACACTTTGAAATTTTACATAGCATTCTTCTACTTGACAATAAAAAAATCTATTATTTCGTAATTTGTGTTTTATACTTGAAATAATTATTTTAGATTTATAACAAGGTTTGTTGGGGGAAAAAAAAAATTGGTGTGTACTCTGTAAATATTTTTAATCTGGATAAATTTATTCATTCAGGTCAAATTGATAAAAACAAGACTGCGATCCACAGTGGCGTACCCAGGATTTTAGAACTGTGGGTCTGCCTTACTTACGAGAGGCCACTGTGTAGAAACTTCAACCAACTACCTATATAGTTAGGTATTACAAAGTCACTCTGGGCTCGCGATTTACCTTATTAGTTATTTACATCACATTTTGATACCAACGTTCAATATAACTATATCACATATTTTTAAGTAAATTGTAAAATTTACTTACAAGCTTTAATAGCTATATTTAATTTATTTTTATTTTTATTTGTTGCATTAAAATTTATATTCAATTAAAAAATTTACCTGACATATTTAAATCATTAGAAGAAATTATACAAATTTATTATTTTATTTGTATACGTATATTTGCAGTATATTTATTTTATTTTAGTTTTCAATGACTGATTTCATTTTCACAAGAGATATAGAATAGGTGGTTCTAAATTCTAATACAATAGAAAAGTCAAAAATAATACATTAATAAAATTTATATTTAATAATATCTACATGAAAATAATAGTAAAGAACTAGAACATTACAATCATTTTCTGCGCTTTTTCATTAGTGCGAATTATGTACTATATTATGTACTAATTATGTTAACAAAATCAATGGTTTGAGCTAGGTATGTTGCTTTCTATGCTCAATATGGCCAAATTTGATAGCCGGTCTTCAGTCATAGTTGAGCTAAGGTATGTTTTGAGAAGTTTTAGAACGCTAAAACTTCTTTTTGCAGTTGCACTGCTGACTGGTATAGTGTATAAAAAATTTTATACAAAGTATATAAATTTGGATATGAAGAAACCATGTCTCGTGATATCATGAATTTTCAATACATCATTTAATTTTAAAGGTTCAGTTACTCCAGTTTCAATAGTTTTGCCATTTGTTGGTAAACTAGATGTAATGAACGGTATTCCACTTCTATATCAATTTCATCTATGTCAACTTCATAAAATCTTATATAATATCTATATCCAACATATTTTTATACTTGTGTTTATCGAATTTTAGGTACGTACATTATAAGTTGATAAGCTTAAACACGATTTCGTACGCGTTATTTTACTTCAATACTCAGTCTTCACAGCTGTATATACGATATACCCCTATATCATAATAGCAGATCTTCGATATTTTGAAGGGGGGGCACATATAAATTGTATAATTTTAATTTTAATTAATAATACATACACACTATCAATAATGATTATAATAAGTAATAATTAATAGTTGGTACTTTGGTAGTATTATCCTTATCAACTGTATGTTTCATTTATATGATACTCGTAGTTACATAACAACTTGTCGACAGAAAATTGACAAGGGGCACGTGCCTCTCCTCTAAATTCACCACTGTACATAATTTTTTCAAATAAAAAAATGTTTATATAGTTTGCCATTTCGAGGGGCCACATTTAACTGGGAAAACAACTGTGGGTCAGCTGACCTCCCAAACCCCCCCCTGGGTCCGCCCCTGGCCGATCCACAATGCAACAGGAAAGGTTAGAAAGCCTGATGTTGATAGGCTGCGAAAGAGATATTTCCATTGACATCAATGAAGCCCTAAATATTTTTGGAAAATCATCTGACTCATTAAAGAAAGCTTCATTATTTAAATAAAATCATTTTTATAATCTTATATAATGGTTGATATTTTTTTAAATTAAGAATGTGTCCTATTTTGTATTTACTTTAAAACTTTTTAATATTTATAATTTTTAATGAAAAAAAAAAAATACCACCTGTGGGGTTCTACACGCCACTGCTAGTTAATAAATTTATGTTTACATTAAATAATATATTACATTATAGAAATATATTGTAGACATTTTCTTTCAGTGTCCATTATATTTAAAAATAAACATTTTTAACCTATTAGTACACTGTAGTTATTAACTATAGTCTATAATGCTAGTCTATCTAAAAGTAGACAGGGAAATTAAAGCTCAGTAGTATATAATATTTATTTGTATATTTTATATTTTTGATTAGTAGGCGTGTCCCCCCCCCCCAAAAAAAAAAACGGTTTTAAGTAGTTCACTTTGTACGGTAGAATATCAAACACCCAAAATGCAGACATTTTGTACATTGTTCTGTCGGGTAAAAATTAAGATTGCAAAATGCAGATACTTTGTACAGTTATTTACATAATGTAAAGCTCGGTGGTTGGTTTATGTATAGACGTATAGTTATAGACTATAGGTATGGGATAGCGGGGCAAGTTGACTAACTTAAGGTTTAATTAATTATCCTGCTACAAGCAATGGTTAGATTATCTTGATTTTTTTACAGGTTATTCATAGTTTGCTAAGATTAAATGGTAATTTATTGGTTTCTTAACACGTTGACTAAGGATGTCTTTTTGCAGTATAATAAATGTAAAAACAAAAGTCTTCTAAAAAAAAAAATAAAGATACTGCTCTTAACATATGTATACATTGAATTCATTTAAATATTCATTATTTACCTAAAATAACTTACTGTATAGTACTATTTTTTATTTTTAGAGATAAACGACAAAGATGAACGCATTACAAATAACCCCAAAAAAGTGTTCAAAAAAATAAGTAAACAATATGTAAACTATCAAAAAATGAACATATTTTATATTTATATTTCTTTTTAGGAACCGCTTTTTTAAAATTTAAATAATGATCCTACATTTGACAAAGCTAGATTTGAAGCGCTTAGTGAAGAGTCAAAAGTTAGGATCAAAAGACAAGAATCATTAATAGAACAAGATGCTATTATTCATGCCGTTAACTTAGAGGATGCCAATCTAAAGCTTTTATTAGCTAAACAAAAATATGAAAATGAAATTAATCAATAAGTCTATTATAAATGTTATAAACTTTTTTTTTTTATTATTATGTAAATACTTAATTATATTTAAAATACCTTTTATACCTAAAGACTAAAATAACTAAATGTTCCTAAATAACTTATTATTATTTTATAATATGCAAGTGAAAATTAATAAATAACAAATGTGATATATATTTGAAAAAAATATAACAATAGTAATATACCTAATAAAAAAAATGTAAATATGTGTGTATGGTAACCTACTTACCTTATAATATTAATAATGTCACTGCTTATTTTAATTTTCTAATATTAATTGTATTTGATAAAAATATTGTATTAAATTGTAATTAAAAATGTATATTATTACTTGTTGATTTTATATAAATGTTATTTTAATGTTATATATTAATTTATGTTAATGTTAATTTTATTAAAATATCTACTAATCTATAAGTTTAGTTAAATTGTCTATTTATAAAAGAGTTTCTTATATTGAATCCATTTCCACCATCAACAAATACTTCAGCATCGACTGTCTCTGATTGAAACCGTGATTCATTTTGATCAAAATCCAGGTCTATTTTATATTTAATACAAATATTGTGTAATATTACACATGCAACTATGATGTTACTCGATGTTGTAGTCGCAGTTCCTAATTTACGACTGAGGCAACGAAATCGATTTTTTAATAACTCATTGACACGTTCAACCACATTCCTTGTTCTAATGTGAGCATAATTGTATCTCTTTTGTTCATTTGTAATAGGATTAGAATGCGGAGTATAGATATACTGTGTCTGTGCGTAACCACCATCAGCTACACATATACCTTGGACAGTTCTAAAATTGTTATTTTTAAGTTTAAAATAATTGATTATAAAAACCTCCAAATTTAATATTATAATTTACAATTTACCATATTATATATAATTTAATTTAATTATTAATTTATTAATTTACCTGTTTTCTATCAATTCTTGAGCTCTACTATTCTGAAAGATTCTTGAATCGTGCACAGATCCGGGTCATCTGGCAACTACATCATAAATTTCCATATCAGGCCCCACTATTAACTGAACATTAAAGGACATCAATCCTTTTCTGTTACGGAAAACTTCCGCATTTTCAACACCTGGACCGCTAATTGGTATATGGATACGTCCATAGCCAAGGTATCACCGAGAAATCGAGCTACTTCATAAAATTTCCTTTTAATTATTTCTAGTTGATCAGCTTGAGGAAATTTAACCCATGTTCTTAGATTCCTAGCTATTCTCAAGGAAATATCTTTAACTATACAACTGACTGACGGTTGGCTTAATTCAAACATATCACTATTTACCAACTGAGTTAAATAATAATGCAATTGTGTTAATTAAATTTAAATGTTTAAATTTTATTTATATAATTACTTTGTAGCATCTTGTCTCATAAAATCTTAATGACGTAAGAAGTTTCCATGAATTAGTTATGGGTAATTATCTCATATCTGTGTTAACATTTTGGTCATCTTCAGGAAATATCATGGGCATTAAAATATTTGAAAAAATTTCCTTAGTGAACCGAAATCTTCTAAAAAAATCATAGTTCAGTTCGAATAAAAGTCCAAAGGGTCTGACTTATTTTTTTTATATACTTTCCTAACTCAAATTTGAATTGGTTCGTTCATATAGCCATAATTATCATAAAAATCCACAAAATCATCCATTTTGCTTTTAAGTAAATATAACATGTTGACGGACAGTAACTGCTAAAGCAGTCATACTGATTTAAGTCGTAATATGACCATGACTGGTATAGCAGTTTTATATTAAAAGTCGTAAAATGGCATGACTGCTAGAGCAGTTGCGTTTCTTGTGGCTTCACCACATTGGAAATTATTTAGTGTCCTATTGTGACTTACTAACAATCCGGCAAAAAAAAAATCAAATATTCTAAAAATATATAAAAATCTATGGATTATGCCCAATCAGAGTGACTACCGAATTACAGTGATTTGCATAACTGCATTAGCGGCCATGTCCGTTAACGTGTTAAATGAATCATAAATTAATCTTCAACATAAAAAATAGACTTTTCTTATATCAATCAAATTTTTGCAAAATGAATGCAAAATTCAAATGATAAGGTGGCTTAAGTGAATACCAGAGCTTGCAAACCTTTTACTAATTATTCCCTGAGAATTTTCTAACTTAATAGTTAATTCATATTTATGAATACTAATTTACTATCTAGTTACTGACTTTCAGATTTTACTAACAATTTATTTAAGATTTACTTAGGTATGTTTATAAATAACAAAATTATGATTTTAACCAAGTTCACACTAAATCATCCACTTAGTGTGATCTATGAATATAGCTAATTGTGATCAATGATCATATAATTAAAATTGAATGTTAAACATATTATACAAATTCCCAGATAAATATAATAATATATCTTTTGTTTTTATCTTCAAGGAAAAAAAAATATAACTATGGTATTAAGTAAGTCCATTTAATATAACAAATACTTAGGTAAGCTTCAATTAAAAAATACAAAAAGATATAGTTGAGAAATATAAAAAGTTTATTAGGTACCATCCAATACAAAACACATATTTATTGTACTTATTAGATAAATTAAATAAACTGAAGCTGTAGTAGACGATGATGAGAATGTATTTCATTTGACTCTTTCATAATTAAATAAAACAATAATAAATGAATCTCAATTTAAATTAGAATCCTAAAAATATATCAACATTTTATTATCATTTAGGGTCAAATTTTTGGTAATACAGATTTAACTTTGTTTACCTTTATTGTATGTTATGGCATGTAGTGCAACTGTCGACTAGGGTATTGGCCATTGCCAGAATAACCATATCTTACATAACTAGCTCCTAAACAAAGAAAAATGATAAAATTAAGGTTTGTAATTAAATATGTAATGAACACCTAAATAAATATATTAACTACAATAACCTGAATTTCCATATGGTGTAGCACGATTGTTAGTGGCATAATAAAAATGTTGCAGCTCATAACTTTGATATGGACCCAAGTTGATACCTACCACATACATTGAAATTAGTCAAAAATAAATATTATGATAATAAGTTGTCATAAAATAACTTACTAGGTTGTTGTGAACCTCTCCAAACACGACCTATTAGGTTGCGATGTGCTGGATTATTGTAACCCAATCTTTGATGAACACCTGGCCAGGCTCTACCAGGATTTGAATTGTACAAACATGCACTACCGATATACCCATCACCACCTCCGACAGAGCCATATCCTCCTCTAGTTCTATTATTTCCATAACCTCCAGAAACATCTATTTGATATTTAAATATTGAATGTTTGCAAAATATAGTAGTAAATAAATATATATAGTTTCATAATTACTGTTATGATAGCCTGGCCATTGTCTGTCTCGCGAATTTTGTCTACTGATACTTATATTAACTCCACTACCACCATTACCACCATATCCACCAATGCGATAACCTGCAATATCAGTTTGACTAAATGCTTTTGACACATCCAATTTTCCTCCAGCGACTAGATGACTTTTGATTACTATATTTCAACAAATATATATTTGAGTTTTAATATTAAATATGAATTATAATGATTAATGTTACTCACGAGTAGCTTGGTTAACTGAATTGATATTATCATACTCAATAAATCCATATCCTTTTCTATCACCAGAATCTTTAGCTGTTACAATTTTTATATTAATGATATTGCCAAATTTTTTAAAATATTCAAAAAGATTATTTTCTGATTGTTCTTTTATACCAAAAATGAAAATTTTTTTTACAGAAACTTTGCTTTTTGGTTTATGAATATCCTGAGATCATAAAAAAAAATATTTTTTAGATTAAGAATAAATGTGTTAACTATTTTTAAAAAAAATATGATTAGTTTATTATATTTAATATTTGAAAAATTCAAAATAGTAGTTCATTAAAATCAATTAAAAAAATTCATTGTTTACAAATTGTGCCTAACAATAAATTTTATGTAAATTTCATACCTCACGTGATACTGCTAGCTTGGTTTCAACGTTGCGACCATTTATATTATGAGGCCTGTTGGACATGGCTCGATCAACCATAGAAGATTGAGAATATGTAACAAACCCAAATCCTCTAGATCTGTATGTTAAGATATTAAAATAATTAATAACTAGTTAATATGTTAATATGTTAAACAAAACAAGAAAAAAGATGGTTACCTCTTTGTTATGGGGTCTTTGATGACAACAACATCTACAATTTCACCCCATTGCTCAAATATTTGTGCAAGTGAATATTCTGTTGCAGAGTAGTCTAAGCCACCAATAAATAATTTTCGGCTTTGTACTGGTTCCTACAAAAAAAAAACATTAAGGTTACGGCTACACATAATATATAAAACTACTAGATAGCCATCTTGATATCATCACCGATAAACGGTTGCCATATGGCAATACTAGATAGATTACTTCGGCATTATTATTGTCACCAATAAAATGGCTGCCATGGTTATCTAATAGATGAATATGTAGGTAAGCTTTACTCACATTTGATTCCATGATTAATGGAGAAATTCGTAGGTGAAACGAACAAAATCAGAAAAGGCAATCTAAATAAAACGATAATGTAGTAAACTGAAATCAACGAATCTTAATTAAATGTTTCTAAAATTAATTTATTAGAATATTAATTAATGTTATATAGCCTAAAATTCACAAACAAAATTGATGTCACGCTCGCCAGAAGGTAACACAATAAGTCAAATGACTCGGAGTTAGAACGTAGGCGGCTGTGTACGGTACAGAACAATACTGTTGATATTGTGTGACGTGACGCTGTAACAGTCTGGACAACATAATTTTAAAACGCATAAAATATTACATTATTACCAATGGTGTTGAAATATAAATATATTTATTATTTTACTAGCCCTCCGGTGTAGACGCGGGAGCCAACGGGACCCTCAAGTGTTCGCTGAAATGGGGCTACCGATTTTGGAGAGTCCATTTAATTTAGACTTATAAAAGTAGCACTACAAGTCTTGTAAAGTAATGAAGGTGATTTTGATGATAAGGTTTTGTGATAAGGCTTGGCGATCTCCTTTCGAAAGAGGGAATGTTTAAAAGTTGAGTTTCAAGGCTGGGAATTAACGAGTTAATAAGTTAGAAGTTAAGTTAGTTTTAACTCATTAACTTAACTTACTAGTTCAGTGTTTTAATTAATTTAACTTTAATTTAACTCATTTACCTCTACATTAACTTAAAATTAACTCATTTTCCTCTAAATTAACTTAAAATCAACTCTTTTTTATTTCTTTATGTTAATTTAGAGGCAAATGAGTTAATTTTTCTTTATTTTCCCAATTAAGTTAATTTTGAATATTCCTATTATCCAGAATAATATTTTGCTTATTATGGATTTTCGGTTTAAAATAATAATTATTAGTTCACAGAATATAGAAAATATTACCAAAAATAAAGTAAGATTTATTTACAAAGAACCAAGGTTGGGCATTAACGAGTTAAAAAGTTAAAGTTATGTTAAAAAGTTAATTTAATTTTAGATTTTTAACTTAACTAGTTACTTTTAGCTTCTCATTAACTAACTGTAAGCTTACTAAATTTCTTTTTTATTTAACGTGAAATTAACGAGTTAATTTTTCATTTTAAGAAGTAAGTTAAGTTAATTTATTTTTTTTTAATTTTATTATATTTTACTAATTTAGTCTATTTCGTTTTCATGCCAAAAAATATTTACCGTAAATTGTTTAAAGTTAAAAGTTTATATCATTTGAATCTAACTTATATGGAAATACTGTATAAAGTATAAACACTATAGTCTATAAATTAGTTTTGGGTTGGAAAAAAATGAAGTACTCTAGCGTTGTATAAAAAAATTAACTATTTTTAACATAATAAAAAGTTAACAAAAAGTATGTAAGTATAAACTTTACCTTAACTAAGTTAAACTACATTTAAATAATCTTTTAACTTTTAACTTTTTGTTATTGTTGCATATTAACTTAACTTAACTGAGTTAAAATAAATCATTAACTTGCACAGCTTTGCAAAGAACTTCGTATTTATGTTTAAAGATAAAAACTAATATATTGCATTAATAAGTTAATTAAAAATATTAATATAAGGGTTACATTAGTCACCCGAATGAAGACATCAATACCACAAATTATATTCATAAATCAAAATACCTATTCATTACTCATTAGTTATTAATTAAATTTATTAGTACAATATTGATTATCTTAAATTGTTTGAACAGTAATATACCTATGAATGATGATTATGTACTATTCAAGTGATAATCACTTATTTTATTAAATAATACCTTATAAATGCATTATTTTTATTAAATTATTAACCTAACTAATTAATTGAAGTTAAGTTAAGTTAGCAGTATTTGTAACTTAATTTAAACTTAATTTATATATTAAAAATGTACATTAACTTAGCTTTTACTTTAATTAAAAAAAATACTTAACTTTATTTAACTGAGTTGAAAAATATCATTCACTTGCCCAGCCTGGGATATTATATTGTCTTGTCTTTTAACAAGTGAACAGGTGGTGAGAAATCTTACACAGCCTTGTCATCCTACATCATTCGAAGTTACAATAAAATAATATACTGTAGGTATGTTGAATATTTATCAGTAACTACCTGTTTCAAGTACCTAATTATCAAAATATAAATTCAATAATATCTACTTATTATTCATATTGATACAGACGAGAAGGTTATTAAGATAGTACCTACAGGACAATCTATGGTACAATCACCCTACAAGGCTACATAATATCATATACCTACAAATTGTTCTGATCGCGCACTTATTCAAGATTTAAGAATAATATATTTATGTTTGTCAAATGTAAACATAATATTATTTTTTTTTCACAGACTACAGTCCACAAGCACTGAAGAATTATTTATTCGATAAATACATGATAGGTTGCAAACACGTTTAAACGCATTATTCTGGTAAATATTTTAGATTAAAATGTACCTAGTTGATTTGATTTTTGTAATAAATTGTATAATATCATGGTTCGAATGATCTCAAAATATTTTAGAACTCCTGGTTATTATAATAATATTATGATCAACATCGGAAAAATGTATTTCCTGATTATTCCAACTTTCCAAACATATACTCTATTATGTACCTAACACAGTATACAGACAGTACACAATCACAACCAGCATTATAATATTATTATGTAGGTGGCCTTACTGCAATAATAAAATAGGTGAACATGTATATTCTATATTAACAATTACTTTTGAAATCCAACGTCGGAACGTATGAATTTAACTAGGACGAGTGAACCTATACACAACCTATGCAAATTATTATTATGCAGACAATAAACCGTCATCTCCGATGTATATTATAATTATTTACAATATTTCCCGGACGTTTAGACTAGTTCGAAGTCCAATAGCCTTGACTGCAATTATTGAATCCAATAATAATTTTTGGAATATAGTTTATTTGGGAAAAACTACTTGCCCAACCACCTCATATCATATAATTATATAATATCTATGATTTAAAATGTTTTCATGAAAAAATCTGGTATCACACTATCATATATGATATAATAATAATAATAATAATATCATATATGATTTGCCTAAAAAATAACCCCGGCAAAAATGATTTGTAAGTATAAATATAATAAACTATAAATTTGTAATACAATGTCAATAATATTAATAGGTATCTATTTTATAATAGTTTTCTTAAATTTAAATACATTTTTTTTAAAAATTTATCCACTTCAATTTGGTTAGTATTTAACCGTTCGCATAAGGTTTTTAATCTTTTTTGCACGGTTTTAGATTTTGTACATTTTGTTTTGGACTTTCCAATGTTTTGCAGAGCAAATTTTGCACGGTCTGCCGACAATTCATTTTTTATTTTGGTTATTAACGTCCAAATCGATGATTGTTTCCCTCCAACTAAATGACAAAATCGATTGTTCCATGATTCGCAAACATTATTGGTTTGGTGGTTATTTTCAAGTGTTGTTCGGTGAACGTTCCAAGTTTCCGGAGGAAACATCGTTAAAACGTTTAAGTATAACACTAATATAACAACATACAATTATTTGTAATTGTAGTATAGCTTATTTTTAATGATTGTTTAATTTCAATTGGCCCTGCAATATTTGTATTAGATTTTTATGTTGTGTGTACACTATTAAAAATAAATTTAAAATTAAAAAGCAAGAAAACAAAAAAAGACTGAATTCATAATTTAAATTAAGGGGCCCCACCAATAAATTAGCCCTAAGTAGGGCTCTGTCTGTAGGTCTTAACATTACCGTAGATTATAAACAATATTCCTTAATAACCGTTAATAATTATTGTTATTATAATATTATTCATAATCTCAGTGGGGTACTGAAGGGGGGGGGGGGCTAACGGGCTAAAGCCCAACATTGCCCGTATTATTATTACTTTTCAAAAAATATTTATCAAGTTTCAACTGTCAGCTATAGTAAGCAAGACGTAAATTTCATATACGTCTTACCAGAATGAATTCATTTTTGAAAAAACATTGTGTTTGCACAGATACCAGTTTTCCTAAAATTATCTGTAATTTTTCGGTAAAAGTATGAACCACTATTGAATGAAAGACCTTACATTAAATTGTTTAGTCTTAGCTTATAGAAATATAATATTTTATAAGTTTTGAACTATAAATTAACTGTGGGCTGTGGTTTTGACGAAATTTTAACTTTAAATTCTTATAAAAAATAACCATTGTTACGTGCAGCCCTTCAGGAATCCAAAAGATGATGCTTTTGAAATAAACAGTAGACAATTTAAAATAGTAATCGAATGCAGTTTTATTATAATAGTAAATATGCAAGATATTGTGTGTAAACTCGTAGTAGAGTGTATAATCTCGTCGTAGCTGTGTGTAATAATAGTTCTGTGTTCTAGCGACTGTGCTAACTGCTAGTACATAAACGGGGAAGCCATTTTCAATAGGCAACCGTCAATGGGCATTGCGGCTTATTTGAACATTTGAATTTGCCATTTGGTGTTATCTGTTTTTAAAGAACCAGAATGTTACTACCTAATATAATTTTTAATTGATACTATTACACTCCCAATTGCTAAAAAACACAGCAATATGGCAATATGTAGGTACTATTGTCTATTTAGGACATATACCTACCTATATTCTTATCGAATACAAAATATAACAATGTACAGGATACGGCACATTATGACGTTACCTGTCGTTACTGTTATATTATATTCAGTGGCGTAGCCAAGGGGGGGGGGGTTGGGTGTTTAAACACCCCCCATTGACATTTCCCCCCTAATAAATATATTGTTTATAGGGTTCGGGACTCATCCTTGCATGTTTTATTT